CAAATTGATGCTTGCTACTGGAACATGTAATATGTAGAGAAGAGGAATAAAAATACTGTAATGGTATTTTAATATATCATCTGATTATAATTTAGTCATAAAACCCTATTTAGTAGTTTTAACATTTAGAACAAATGATTTGCTTGTTTTAGTTTTCAAAAAATGGATTATCAATTTTAATATCCTAGACCATGTAAATGTGTGGCAAAAGGCAGGAAGTGGAAAGACAACTAGTAAAGTTAGAGGGAACGATTGGAGAACTTTTACTCTTTACATGGCTTAGTTAAGGATTCAGAGGTACCTAGTAGAAACCTACAATAATATGGTAGTTATTACAGTGCAGTGAATTGTGGAAAACTGGGAACCTGGAAGAGAATGATGCAGCCTGATGTCTGTGCTCCTAACCGGAGTCTGGAAGCCTGGCTCTAACTAGAGAAAGATCTCCACAGTTCCAGGAGAGATGACATCAAATACACGTTCTCCAGACTAAAAATCGTCCCCACATGAACCCCCATAAAAGTGCTACTTTAAAGATGTCTTTACTTTTGTATGGCTGTTCACTATACAGCCAGAGGCAACCTATCTTTAAGACTAATCGGATTCTCTTTTCCCTCCCACCCAAAGTACAGCTGACTCCCGTCTGATGCCTTCATCTGATACTCATTGTAGATTGTTCCCCTGTAGAGAGCACAGGGTCATCCATGGTTAAATTGTTGACACACTCTAGTACCTGCCCACCCTATGACATACATGCTGTTGGAGGCTTGCAAGCGCCCTGGCCATATAAACCAGCTGGAAAATACATCCGCTCTCTTGATCCTGACATTGGGAAAGGTCAGCCCCTGGAAATCACTCTTCTGTCTCCTTATTTTCCACAATGGCACAAGCCACTCCTCGGGACCTGTTCAGGTGTGCTGGTTCCCGTGGTAAATTATGTAATATAGCTCTTCTGGCCATAATCTTTGTAACTCCTACCAAATGCTCTTTGGCTGTTAGGTCTGACTGAGTCAGAGAAGTGGGGGGAAGACACTGATCGTATTTACTTGTGAGGGATTGCTGACAGGAATAAGTGTGACTGGCATCCTGCTGGTATAAAATAAGCCATCTCAGAAGCAGGAAGGAGCACACTTCAGTACCACAGGAGAAAAGTCAGAAGCTAAGTATGTCCTTTGTACCCTGAGACCTCTGCACACGGAACCGTTTTGATCCAAGAGAGCTAGCTTTGACCCCAGAGGATCCGCGGAAGAAGAACCAAGAGCCAGAACGTGAGACAGATAGTAGACTTTCAAGCCCCCAGAGCAAGTAATGCTTTCAAGCCGGAGGCTGACTTGTAGAGTTTGGCATTTAATTGGAGTAACTATTAGTCATAATGCACTCAATGGCAGTGAATTTGAGTTTTAAGATTTAAGCAAGATTTTTAAGGTCTCTGATCGACAGAGTTAAAGTAGAGAAGAGGTAAGAAAGAGATCACTAGAAAACTCTAGAGTTGAACTTGTAAAAAGCTGTCTAGCAGGGGTGGGGCTGGATAGTGAGGAATTCTTTGAATTTTGACATTGTGCATGTATTACTAGAACAAAAATTATAATGACATTCTTTTAAAATCAGGATTTCATATTAACTGTATATGAAATTTGGGAGAAAATTGGCAAATTGGATCATTTTGTTTAGAATAAGTTCAGTCTACCACTGCCATAAACAGGATACCAAGTGACTAGGTGATAGTTCTACATTGTTTATGGCCAATTCCTTTAGTTTTCACTAATAAATGAGGTATTGGCATATTTCTATGTTTTATACCTCTCTTATTATTCCCAAGAAAGAAAGGGGAATATTTAGGGAGAATCCACAGAGTGACATTTGTTTTTACAAATTTGCATAGTCTTCTGACTGTAACTATAAGTAATAGCATAAAATTAGTGTCAGACAGCTTTGGGCCTGCTCCAGGGGTCTCCAGATCATCTGAGAAGATAGACTCTGGGTAAACTGAGCACTGAGTTGGACTATAGAAGGTTGATGTCTCATTCTGGATGTACTTGTCTTCAGATAGCGAATTGTCCTTAGTAGTATCTAACTTCTCTGTATTTTTTCTCGTTACAATTGAGTCAATTCCAACTCATCTCAACCTCACACAACCTATGTAGAACTTCTGCGTGGGCTTGTCTTAGATCTAATATTTATAGATTTAGACCAGTTGCTTTCCCATAGAACTCCTGGGTGGGTTTGAACCGATACACATTTGGCTAGCACATAAATACCTAACCATGATACCTCCAGTGTTCTATAAAATGAAAAAACACAAACCACAGTCCTGAGTAATCACACTATATATGCTTTCTGAAGTTCTGACTCATAACAACCTAATATGTGGTTTCTGAGGCTGTCAAGCTTTACAAGAGAAGAGAGCCTCATCTTTTTCTTGTGGAGTGGCATGTGAGTTTGAACTTCAAACCTTGCGGATAGAATTCTTGTTGTTGTCATCAAGTCGGTTCCGACTCTCAGTGACAATGGAAAGAAACACTGCCTGGTCCTGTGTTCTTCTCTTGATTGTTCATCTGTTTAGAATCGTTGTTGCAGCCACTGGGTCAGTTCATCTTATGGAGGGCCTTCCTCTTTGTCACTGCCCCTCTGTGCACCTCTCCACAACCAAACTCACCGCCGTCGTCGAGTCTATTTGGATGCATTCAGATCCTATAGGACTCGGTCGCGCTGCCCCTGTGGGGCTTGAAACCATCACTCTTTATGGGAATAGAAAGCCAGGCCTTTCTCCCATCCAGTGGCTGGCGGTTTCTTGTAGTTGCTGCTTGCTGACCTTGTAATTTGCAGCCTAACGTGTAACCACTGCACCACCAGGGCTTCTATGGACCCCTATAGATAGTTCTTTTAAAAGCACAGTGCTCAAGGCAGACTTTCCTCATTCCGTTGAACTAGTGTTTAGCTTTAAGAACACTTCCGGGTGATCTTTTTGACTTAACACTAAAGATGATCTCAGGGCAATCGTTTCTGAGGTCCATCCAGCCTCCACGATACCAGGAACTCTAGACTCCGTGAGGATTGGGAATTCTGTTCTGCATTTCCTCCCTTTTTGGCTAGGATTCTTGGATCAAATCTTGGATCCAAATGGTTAGTGATGGTGGCTGGGCACCACCCAGTTCTGGTCTCACGGCCAAGAAAGTAGCTGGTCATGGAGACAGTTAGCCACACATTCCTTCGCATCCTCCCATTTCTGACTCTCCTTTTTCTCTTGCTCAAAGTAGAGACTCAGTGCTCTGCCTTGGATGGCCACTGGCAAGCGTTGAAGATTCCAGGTACTATGCAATGAACCAGGGTAGCCTAGAAACCTTGGGCGTGAGAATTGCCCAACTACAGAGCTGACTTTTCTGTCACTTGCAACCAAAGAATCTTGACCGATCCTCTCTTTTTCACGAGTCCCCTTTATGAAGCTACCGCCCCTCTCAAAATTGGATCACTACATGTTCTTGCAAACAGTAAAACATTGACCTTGAAAAAAGGTCTTTCTCCAGGGATGGGTCTCACTGAGAATATGACCAAAGTACATGAGATGAAGTCTTGCCATCCTTGTCTCCAAGGAACATTCTAGCCCAGCGGTTCTCAAACCTGTGGGTCACGACCCCTTTGGGGGGTCAAACGACCCTTTCATAGGGGTTTTCTGACTCATAACAGTAACAACATTACAGTATGAAGTAGTAGCGAAAATAATTTTATGGTTGGGGGTCACCACCACATGAGGAACTGTGTTAAAGAATTGTGGCATTAGGAAGGCTGAGACGCACTGTTCTAGCTGTACTTCTTCCAAAACAGATGCTTGTTCCTCAAAAAGCACCAGCCACTGGGAGAATGATGAGAATTTCTACTCCTTTAAAGATTTACAATTTCTAAGCCCCATAGCATTCTACTCTGGCCTAGAGAGTTCCTATCAGTAAGATGTAGCTTGATGGCCCTGAGGCAGGTCAGGCTACTTTCAATATTCTTCAGCAACACCATAGTTAAAGTGCATTGTTTTCTTCAGCCTTCCTTATTTAATGTCCAATTTCACAAGCATATGAGGCAAGTGAACATACCATAGCGTAGCTGAGGCATACCTTAGTCCTCAAAGAAGGCTTGCATTTCAACACACCAAAGAGGTCTTGTGCAGCATTTGCCTGAGACAATATATCATTTGATCTCTTAACTGCTGCTCCCCTGAGAATTGATTGTGGATCCAAGCACGATGGAATCCCTGAGAACTGCCATCTGCTCTCCATTTCTCACGATGTTGCCTATCAGTGCAGTCATCAGGATTTTAGTTTTCTATACGTTAAGTTATAATCCACGCCGCAGGCTGCAATCCTGGACCTGCATCCGCAACTGCTTCAGGTTCTCTCTCTCAGCCAGCAAGGCTGTGCAGTCTGCATATCGCAGATTGTTAACAAGCTTTCTTCCAACACGCTAACTACATTCTTCAAAGAATCCAGCTTCTCTGGTGATTTGCTCAGCATACAGACTGAATTCGTAAGGTGGGAGGACACAACCCTGATGCCCATGTCATAAGGACGCTCCAATTTGTTTTAAATAACAACAAACCTCTGACTCTGGAAGGCTTAGTTTTCAGAAATGCCTAATTCAAAATAGAATTTCTCAAATTTTCCTTCAAAGAGAAAGCCACGAGAACCCAATAGCACACAAAATATGTCCTCACCTTTAAATTGTACTTTGTTGTGATTAAACCAAGTTTCTCTACTTTCATGCTACCAGATTTATAATTTGAGAATTTGTATGTGTGTGTATATGATTTTCTTACAAATTATAGTGAATTTAGGAAAAGGCGGCATGAAAGTGTTCAAGCAACTCAACCTATTATTCCTCAATAATATTTCCTGCAAAAGCAGCTTAGTCCCAGGAGTGTTTTTAAATTTAAGCAAACACAGCAGGGTGGCAGTCCCGTGAAGGTCAGAGGATACAATTCTCTGTTACTCAGGATCTGTCTTCTCGCTCGCTTTTAGCTCAAACAGAGGAAACCCCTAGCGTGCCTGTGAAAAGTGAAGGCTCCAGGGAAGACACAGAAGAGGCTACGGGCCCTGATGGTAAGTTTCAGAGGGACCTAAGCTCATGGAAAACACCCGCCTCGCCCGTTTCCCTTGTCTCTGACTCTGAATCAGGAGCCCTGGTGATATATTGGTTACAAGCTGGGCTGCAAATGGCAAGGTCAGAACTGGAAACACCAGCGCTCCCTTGGGAGAACTATGAAGCTTTCTATTCCGTGAATGAAATACAGATTCTGAAACCCACATGGGTTAGTCTACTCTGTCTTACGGTGTTACTGAGTACCAATCAACTTGATGGCTCTGACAGTTTTTCCAGTTTTATTCTTTGCATCAACAAAATAAGATAAAAAGCAAACACTCTTTTCTACTAGGAACATAATAGAAATTGCGGTTTAAAAATACTTTAATCTCGCTGTTTTAGAATGGCACATACATACAAGTAATCAAACCTCACAACAGTGAGGCCACAATGGGTAAGGTCAAGGTCAATCAGACATGAAAATTAGCTAGGGAAGTTCTAGGCAACATGGATTAATCTTTAAAAATGTACTGTCTTCCTATCATTCTTCCACTTGGATTCAGGAAAAGGGTAGCTTGGGTCGAAGGTAAAATTGTTGGTGGACTTGAACCATTTCACCTCAAAGTATCAGGTCAGATAACTTGGCCGAATGCATATATACATCAAGTTGATTCCGATTCATGGCAACCCTGTATAGACTTTCCAGCTCTATAGACCTTTAGAGAAACAGACAGCCTCATCTTTCTCCTGCAGAGCAGCCGGCCTCATTGGCTATAACCCAACTGACAGACTAGACCCCACCCGTTCACTCAGATAAAGTAAGTCCCAAAAAGTTTCTGAAAAATAATTTAAAAAATGAAAAGACTAATTAGCAACTTCATATGGAGAGGGAACCAAAGACCTCCTTACAAGATTAACAAATCGGGGGTCCCTCACTCCCTGATCTCAAAACCCATTACACTGTCCCAGTAGTCAGAACAGCCTGTCCGGACACAGTCATGGATAACACTGACCAATGGGACAGAACAGCACCCCCAGAAATAAACACGTCCACCTCCAGGAAATTGGATTGTAGTTTTACAAAGGACCAGACGTTATTAAATGGGAAGGGGGCGGTCTCTGCAGCCATCTGCGGAAGAATGAAGCAGAACCATACCTCACCCGTGTGATGAATGAAATCATAAAAGTGAATTAAAGATGGATTAGAGGGCTCAATGTCAATCCCAGAGCTATCAGGATCATCAGTGAGAAAAATTGGGACAAACTGAAGGATCCTATTGCAGGGCACAAATAGGCTACAAAATGTAACAAAGACACACACTGAGAAAGACCAAATACATAACTGGGACTTGCTAAAAATAAATATTTCTGCATACCAGAATACTAAATCAAAACAGTAAAATGGGGGAAATGACTTTACAATGCTCTCTGTATAATAACGATATTCATACTCCTTGATTATAGTCAGAGGAATTCACTGAAGTCTTAATCCATGTGGGGACTCTCACAATGGATTTTGGGCTTCCTCTGTCATCCATAGCCTACTCTACAGCAGGTTCACAATTTAAACCCTTATACTGTTCCCTTTTTGTATTTGAGTATTATTATTTACAATCTTTAGATCACACCGATGATGTGTATCTTCCATGTGGTCTTGGTTGATGCCTCACTTAAATAGGTGCTTGTTTTAAGACAAAGCTTCAATACCCCAGATGCTATTTTTTCTGACAGCAGGCACAACCTGGTTTCTTCACCACACCAGTTTCTTCAGTGATCTCTTCATGAGGACAAGCACTGAGCAGAGCCATGTCATAAGAAATAAATGTTCTTAGATTGGGGCTAGAATTTAGTGTGAATTCATATGAATAAGATATAATACATATAAATATAATAAGATAAAAATATATATAGTTTCTCTTTGTCTCTGGTTCATTTTAAAGATGCCGTTTTATGATAGAGACTATTATAAATCATTTCCCTGTGGCATAAGGTAATTCTGTTGATGGTGTCATGAATTTAGTCAATGGTATAGAATTTAAAATACTGTTGAAAAAAGGAAATTATACAAGCATAATTCCAAAGTAAGATGAAATGTTATCATCCTTGCCTCTAAGGAGCATGCTGGCCTTACTTCTTCTGAGAAAAGTCAGTTGGTCCTTTTAGCAATCTATGGTACTTTCAATATTCTTCACCAGCGCCACAACGCAGCTGCATCTATTCATTTTGAGTCTTCTTTACTCAGTGACCAACTTTCACATGCACATGAGGAAGTGGAATACCTGGCAAGACAAGACAATACCCTGGCTTGGGTCTTGCACACTTCAATCCTCAAAGTAGCATCCTTGCTTTTCAATCCTATAAAGAAGTCTTGTGCAGCAGATTTATACAATGCAATGCATCCTTTGATCTCTTGACTGCTGCTTCCGTGATTGAGGATCCAAGCAAGATAAAATCCATGACAACTTCAATCTTGTCTCCATTTATCATGATTGGTCCAGTTGTCAAGAGTTTACACTGAGTCATAATCCAGACTAAATGCTGAAATTCATGATCAGCAAATACTTCAAGTCCTTACTTTCAACAAGTAAAATTTTATCATCTGCATATCACACAGATATTAATAAGTATTGTTAATAAAGCCTTCCTCCAATCTTGATGCCACATTCTTCTTCATGTAATCCAGCTTCTCTAATTATTTGCTCACCACACACACTGAATAAATATGATGATAGGATACAACCCCAGTGCACACTTTTCCTGATTTTAAACCATGCAATCTTCCCTTGTCCTGTTTGCACAACCATCTCTTGATCCATGTACAAGTTCCAAGTAAGCACAATAAAGAGTTCTGGAATTTCCTTTCTTCTCCAGGTGATCTTATTTGTAGTTTATAATAACCTTGAGAAAAAATTATCTAGTAGTAGAAATATCTTGATAGATTGAAATAATTTCTTATAGTAGATATTCCATTATCCCATAGATTTACCTTTGCCTGAATGTGTTCTGACTTAGGGATCATAAAATTGATAGGTTTAAATAACAGCTAATAATCAACTTGTGGGGATTCTGATAGCAACAAGCCAGTCCTCTATGACATTATATCCAAATCATAACTCACCCCCCCTCCTTCTCTGTCTGGTAATTGTTGGTTACCAGGCTATTGAAAATGTCGACAGAAGATCTCCATAATGTAATCTGAACCCATAATTAATGCTCTACTTCCCTTCATGTCCTCCATAGATTGGCTCTGAAACAAACATGACAGATACCCCAGGAGATATTTTTGGGTCTGTCTGGTTACCCTTACCATCAATGATGAAAATATATTGAGTGGAGCTACACCCACTTCTAATAGTACTATGGGCACTGGCTGAAATCAACAAGGCAGACCTCCATGGGACTCTGTTCCAACTGTGATTGCTCCCCCCACCCCCCCAGGTAAACCTCCTGCAAAGTTGGGTGTTACCTTTTGGTTTTGCCCAAGGCTTCCTTCCCTACTTGTTTTGAGAGGGACTGAAAGTTGAAAAATAAAATATGGAAATTCTGAATCCTAATTAAATCAGGGAGAGAACATTATCTCTCATGTAGGGAGAAAACAAGTGGTAAGAAATGGCTTAAAGCTCAGCCCATCTAAGAGTTTCTTGGAAAACATAATATTAGAAAAATCACCAAATACAGGTGAACTGAGAAAGTTATACCCTACGTCCCCACAAAAAATTTCACCACCCAAAATGTCTACTTCCTCACCAAAAACTCAGAAGACACGCATAAAACAAAGAAACAGTGGCCCATCCAAATGAATATGACAAAGTCACTGAATGTTTATCAAAAGACCAAAGAATGAAAAAAGCACCTTGGAATAACACCATATTAAATATTATAACACAATGTTATATTAATAGAATATAATGGTAAACATAAATAAAAACACAAAGAGATCAAAGAAATAGGGGAAATAATGAGCAAACAAAATGAGGTCCAGAAAGAGGAATATTGCAACTAAAAGGGGAGTACCTGGAAGGAAAACATGATAGAAATGATTACCTCACACTACCAAAATTAACACAAGAATTAATCCTCAAATTACTGAATAAAATAATAGATGCTGAAGAGGAGCTAGAATGGAAGCTAAAGAACGTTGTGGGAGTTCAATAGAACAATGACACAACAAGAGACCGAATATATGTATCATGGGGATACCAGAGAAAGAGAAAGATAGAATATATGAAATATGACAGAAAAAAGTTCCAATCAATTTAAGGACATAAACAACAAATCCAAGAAGTTCAAAGAACCCGAACCACAAACCCAAGGAAATGTACACAAAGACACATCAAGTGCCATGCACACTTTTATTGAGGTGAATTTTGAGTCACTGAAACCCCATAGGACAGGATGGAACTGCTGCATACAAAGTTGTAAATCTTTAAGCAGAGACCCACATCTTTGTCTCAAGAGGTGGCTTGAGGGTTTGAACTGCTGACCTTTGGATTAGCAACCAAGTATTTAGTGATAATGCTGCAGGGATTTCTGTACATCAGTGTTAGACTCTCAAAAAATTAAAGAAAAGAATCCTAAAAGCATTGAGTGTGTTGTAAACCATCTTCTACAAGGGATCCCCCAAAATATTAAATGCTGATTTTTCCTTAGAAACATTGTAGGCCAGAAGACAATGGGATGATATAAAGGCAGTCTCTGGGTTACAAATGAAGTTTATTTCTAAGCATATCTTTAAGTTCAATTTTCTGGCAAATCGAATGTGGTGCATCTGGTTCTAATTTAGCATTACTTCACTGAAAGAAAAGGCTTGAAGATTTTTCAATGATTTAACAGTTTCATGTGCAACACAGGAATATAATGATAGAGAATTGTTGCATTTAAGGTATTGGTTCAATTATTTCAAAGTGATGACACATTTATATAACATTAATAAGCCAAGTATGTATTATCTATAAGACAGATGTGCATAACCTGGGGATGAACTGCATTTATAATAAGGAAAGAAAAATAATACCAACTAAGAATACTATACTATGAAAAATTATCCTTCAAGAATGAAGGTGAAATTAAGCTGCTTGCCCAAACAAGCAGAAACTAAAAGAATTCATATTCACCAGACTGACCTAGTAATGAGGACTCTGTAACAGGAAATAGGAAAGGTATGTGAGTATAATTCAAAACTATACAAAGATCGAAAGATCCTAACAAGATAAAAATACTTGGAGAAGCTCAAGGACTAGTAATACAGTATTCATGCTGGAAAACTTCATCCATCCGTTTTTTAAATAGCAAATATATAAAAAGCAAGAACAAAATTATCTGATGATATATATGAAATATAAAGATGTCATTATTGATAACAAAAAGGTAGAGAAGATTGGTATTGATACTGAATTTACTGTACAGTGGTGAAGTCAAGTTGGTACCAACTGACCCTGTTGTTAGCTGTGGTCAAGTTACTTCTGGCTCCCAACAGCCCAGTACACAACAGAACACACAGCCCACGGCACCACAACACCCTCAATTGGTCCTATGCTTGACCCCATTGTTGCAGTCACTGTGTTACTCCATGCCATTAAAGGGCTTTCTCTTTTCTGCTTTACCCTCTACGAAGCATAATGTCCATTTCTAAGGCCTGGTTTCTCTTGATAATGTGGTTAAAGTACATGATACAGTCTCGCCATTTTCATTTTAGGAGCATTTTGTCAGCCTCTACTTCCAGTAACACAGAGTTGCTTGTTCTCAGAAAGTCCCGAATACTCCAGACACCACAATGCAAACCTGGTCATTATTCCCTTGTCTTCCCTGTTCAAGGTCCAGCCTTATCGTGCATACTAGGTGAGTGGAAAAGGCTAGGGCCAGGTGCATCTTACTCTTCAAAGTGACATTTTTGCTTGATAACACTTTAAACATCATTTCATTTCTTGACTGCTATTTCTATGAGCATTGATTATGAATCCAAATAAAATGAAATCCTTGACAACCTCAATCTTTTCTCCATTTATCACGATGTGATCTATTGGTCCGATTGTGAGGTCGTTTGTCTTCTTGACGTTGGAGTGGAAACTCATCCTAACAGCTGAAGTCTGATCTTCTGAGTAAGTGCTTCAATTTGTCTTTGCTTTCAGCACGTCAAATTGTGTCATCTACTACTTTCAGGTGGTTAATAAACCTTCAGTAATCCTGATGCTACATTATTCTTCATATTGTCCAGCTTGGGTTATCTGTCCATATACATATCAAATAGACACGGTGAGAGGACACCACCCTGACAGACACCTTTCCGGAGTTTAAGCCACTCAATACCCACTTGTGTTTCTTGAACAATTGCCTCTTGGTCTATGTATATTTTCTACCTGAGTACAGTTAAGGGTTCTGGAATCCCCTTCTATGTAATTTTATCCATAATTTGTTATGATCAATGCAAATACCTTTGCATCATCAATAAAACATAAGTAAATATATTTCTGTTATTTTCTTCTTCCAGCCGAGATCTACCTGACAGTAGCAATGATATCCCTTGTTCCACATTCTCTGTTGAATCTGGGTTGAATTTCTAACAGCTCCCTGTTGGTGTATTTATGCCACCATTTTTTAGTTATCTTCACCATGTCACATGAATGATATTATTTGTAACTTTTAATTCTTTGTAATGATCACAGATATGGATCTCTTCCAGTTGGTTGGGCAGGTAGGAGTCTTTGTAAATTCTTGGCATAGGCTAGGCATAGAGTGCTCCCAGCACTCACTATTAAAAACAGTTCTGACTTGAGCATTAACTTTTAATTATCTTTGAATGCTTACGTATTTTGGATCAAATTTCCAACAGTAAATCAATAATCTTAAGGGACAATGAGTATATATTAGTGAGGGACAATTGAAAAAGAGAAGAGTGAGATTAGTTATACAGCACAAATAATGTAATCAATGTTACTAAATTATACATGTAGAAACTACTGAATTGGGGTAGATTTTTTTGTTCATATTCTCAATGACAATGAAATAAAGTTCACTGAGGTATAAGGGGGTGGGCAGGAAGTCAGCACATTTTAGTTATGTTCAGTTAAACTAAATCTGCCCCAATCTGATATGATTCATAGCTAATTCTTTACAAGCCATGTTCTGTAGAATAGTATGCCTACATGATATTATTTAAATAAAATCAAATGAATATAGGAATTATTGCGCTTTAGTTCTCACTTGGAAATGCATGCACATTAGATGGTTATGTGTTCTCAGAGTCTCAGCAGTAAAGAAATGTATCATCTAATGTCCTATTATTTTGTTTCCCACAATTATTTTATTGTTGAATTCTTTTTAATAACATTAGTAATATTTTATAGGACTAGTGTGTCTTGAGTTGATGGACAAAATTAAAAGGAATACTTTCCTATATTTGATTCTACACACCGCCTTATTGCAATTGGCAAACTTCACCTAGATAGAATTGCTGAATTTTGTCAATTTACATTCGGGGTTTAGAATGAGTTCATACAGTTTACAGGTGATAATGTGGAGTTCAGATATTAAAACCTTCCTTGTCCAGGAGACAACTGAAAGGGATGTCATAGAATGTCATTCCTTCTTCCAACCATCTTTGAGATGTGAATGCCAGTACCTGCCACTATGTTACCCTAACTGAGCTTCCATTTTCAAGGGAAAAAATTGAGGGTTGTTGGTTTTGTGCAAATAAATAATCAGAGATTGCTGAGAGCAAAAGGAATCCAGATGGCACTGTGGCTTACACATTGGGCTGATAACCACAAGGTCAGTGGATCAAATCTACCAGCTGCTCCACAGGAGAAAGATGAGACTGTTATACCCATAAAGATTTACCCACTCAAAAGCTTATATAAGGTCCCTATCAGTAAAAATTGGCTTGCTGGCAGTGAGTTTGTTATTTTGGATTATTCAGAGCCAACCAACATCTGTGTTTTACAGATACTCAAAGACAAACAAGGGAATATAAAAGTTGTACAATATATACTCAAGTATGAGCTGGCCCAAATACCAGCCAAGGCACCAAATTTTACCACAAAAACTGCATTAAAAATTTTCTGACTGAGAGGGTGCAGCAAAAGTGGGATAGAAAGGGGGAACCAATTACACGGATCTACGTATAACCTCCTCTCTGGGGAACGGACAACAGGAAAGTGGTAAAGGGAGACATTGGACAGTGTAAGACATGACAAAATAATAATAATTTATAAATTATCAAGGGTTCATTAGGGAGGTGGGAGCGAGGAAGGAAGGGGAAAATGAGGAGCTGATACCAAGGGCTCTAGTAGAAAGAACATGTTTTGAGAATGATGAGGGAAACAAATGTACAAAAGTGCTTGACACAATGGATGGATGAATGGATTGTGATAAGTGTTGTATGAGCCCCCAATAAAATGATTTTTTTTAATGTGCTGGAAAACTCGGCTTATCCTCAAGTATATGTGGTATGCAGTGCAAAAGGGAAAGCTTCATATATGTCCTGATTGGAGGAGGTTGGCATGGGGAGTCTATAAGCTGGCTAACATTTGAGGGATACCTTATGTGATGGACTGTGAGAATGTATTTGGCTTTCTCTGGGTCAGAGTTCAAAGAAGGGGTTGGTGTGGTGGTAGTGGGAAGGCCTGATAGGCATAAGTCAAGTCCAGATCATTCTAGGCCAAGGGTTACAGAGATTGTGTGCTGGTTTTCTAAGCTGGTTGCTACAGAACTTACAAGCCACAGTTCTATTGAAATATACTGTATAGTCAATTATCCATTTGTTTAATTCTCATTTTATAATAGAGGCTTTGATGCTTTAAAAATATCACTCTAATTAAACTGATCAACCTTCCTAAATTTAAAGATGGACTGCTCTACCTGCTATGAGCTTCTTGATAGTGACACTAATTATGAATTATATTTTATGAAAATGTTCATGCAAAATAATAACATCCAGCAAATTAAAAGCACATGCGTTACCTCTGTTGTGATCTTGTTAGATGATTTGTTTTTCTAGTCCATGAAGTCGACTATGTTTCGAAGTTTACAGGGTCTGATACATTCTAAAGTGGAGAAGCAAACAATCCCATAGTCATTGATCTGTTTTAGAGGGAGTTGCTTGTCTCAATATTCATGTTCTGTCGTTCTCTATTTTCTCTTTTTATGTTCTAAAGCATCTATTAATGCCTTTGATAAATATACTCAGTGAACCCCAAAAGCTAGGATGAAATTGTACAGAAAGACTCAAGTTCCTACAATTCAATAAAGAAGCTATCTTGACCCCACCAACAGCAAATAAAAGCTGCATTATAGTTCTGAGATGTTGAACGAATGGAAGTAAATTGAAAAATGTATAAGATAAGGAATCAGAAAATCAAACCACAGACCATTTGAATGTGTTTTAAAGATGAATTTATTAAATGTTTAACCTGTTTGCTTTTCTTTCTGGTTACAGTTGAAATGAATAGTCGGGTTGACAGTATAAATGAACCAGCAGAGAGTCAGCAAGAAGATTAACTAATAGGTAAGGTGCCTGTATGGTAGGATTTTCAATGACAAACTGGCTGTAGGAAATATTTGTGAATGGTGGACTAGATTTCCCTTGGTTCTGCCAAGTCCCACAGGCAAAACTTTCAAGCCTTTATACTGAATAATACCAGCATAAGAATAAAATGGGAAATAAAAGATAAGCTGCTGCAGTACATACCGATCATGAAGTATAGCATTTTTGGAGCTTTAACAATAAAAAATTCCCTATCTGTCTCACTCCCTCATCTCCTAGAGCGATTAACTCATTTCTGGAAACACAAACTAATTCTGAAATATTACTTTTCCAGAAACTACCTAATGAGTTATTTTCTTTTTTTTAAAGCATAAAACCCTATATCTTTGCCCTGGAGAATATATAAGGCACAAGAACACATACTGATGATAGGCCCAAGCCCCCTTACCCCCACTGTAAGTACTGGTCCCCTCACACCACTACTTCAGGTCCTGTGCATCTGTATAAAGGCTTATTGAATTTAAAGAACCTTTGAGTACTTCCCAGGGATTTGAAAAAGTCACAGTCACACCGGGTTAGGAACTTTTCTAGATGAACATTCTAAATCTGTCAGCAGAAGCCAAAACATCTAGCACAGTAATTCACAATCTTCCTAATGCCTCTACCCTTTAATACAGTTTCTCACGTTGTGGTGACCCCCAACCATAAAATTTTTTCGTTGCTACTTCATAACTGTAATTTTTCTACTGTTATGATTTGGGTGACCCCCTGTGAAAAGGTCATTTGACCCTCAAAGGGATTGCGACCCACAGGTTGAGAAATCTAGAACGATAAGTGAGCTGGAAATCCTTTTTGTATCTTAAGGACTGGTGAGAAGAATTGGAAAAAAGAAGTCAGGCTGACTTTCATAAACATCTCATTTCTTTACCTAAAATAATAAGATATGGAAAACATAAAATAAATGAACTGCATGGAATTACTGAACTGTCTGGAATAAGTGAACTGGAAGACCCAAATTATGTGTTGACACTTTAACTCCCAGCATTTCTTATGTTCTTCTTGGTGTGGAACTCTACACTCTCCGGGAGGGAGGGGAAAAATGAGGACCTAATACCGGGGGCTTAAGTGGAGAGGAAATGTTTTGAGAATGATGAGGGCAATGAACATACAAATGTGCTTTACACAATTGATGTATGTATGGATTGTGATAAGAGTTGTATGAGCCCCTAATAAAATGATTAGAAAAAAAAAAAGAAAAGGTTTTGAAAATGATGGTGGTAGCAATTGTACAGCCATGCTTGATCTAACGGAACTATGTATTGTTATAATATCTGTAAGGATTCCTAATAAAATAATTTTTTTTAAACAAACAAACAAAAAAACATCAGATTTCTTACTTTTGCTGTTCAATATTATGGCAACAAATTTAGGGGTATATGAAAGAGAACATATGTTCTCCTAATAGTAGTCTAATGGTTATTTAAAATTAAATGTACTAGTGATTGTATAATTCATGTGTAGCACAGGATATTAAAAAATTACAAGTCTACAATCATGCTCTATTAAAAGTTTCCTTTTATTAACCCATTGAAAATTTTTGTTATAGAAAAGATATGGGAGAGATTTCATTAAACAGGAATAAAATTATTACCCTACTAGATACTTTCCTTCATAGAGAGATTACTGAATAAATATATAGGTGCTATCGAGAAGTGTGGTGAAGAAATGAGATGGTGCCTGGCTATCAGGAAGAATAGTGTCTGGGGTCTTAAAAACTTGTCTTAAAACAAGCAACCATCTGGTTAGGTGTTAGCCAAGCCCACATGAAGGAAGTAAATCGGCCAGTATTATTGAAGGATTATAAATTACAAAACTCAAGATCAGAAGAAAACCTATTAGAGCTTAAAATTTGAGTGCCCAGTTTACAGAAGGTTATGGAAGAAAGTGAAAGCCCAGAATACATTTCAGAGACTCCACAGGCAATAAGCTTCCAGTGGATTCCCTCAGACCATTTACCAGGGAAGTAAATAGCTTTGCTATCAAACAGAGTACATTAGAAAATGGCTATTATCCCTTTCCATCCATTTTTAATTTGTTATAATTTTTAATATATTTTTTCTGTTACTTTTTCAACAGTGGTTTTTCTATATTTTATTATTGTTATTGGGTTTTGGTGTTTTTTTTCCTTTTGCATATTTTTCTATACATAATATCCAGGATAGATAAATATATAGAGATAGTAACTCAATTAATAGTTTCTTAGAGCTATGGCAAAGAATAATAAGTGCATGGAAGAAAATGAACAATGTTATTTACTCCGTTGGTATCTGGAAAAGGTGTGGGACTGAAATTTGGACTCATGGAAGCTTCCTTTGATTATTCCTACCAGATATGGCTGAAAGGAATGTAACTGATGCTAAATTGCAGCTTAGGGAAGAAAAGAGACTTTTGTACTTCCCCAGAGCAAAAGCCACGAAGCTTTGACAAAATGGCTGATAGAAGGCCAACCCTGTTGGAGATATTCTGCCACAGACAAATTTCCATATGCATTTGAAGTTGAGAGTCTGAGATTAACTTAACCGGATTATTTTTAAAAGAATTGTTTAGGATGTGGCTGCAAAAGCATTATATTGAGCTCTCCAGAAGGTGCTTGTACGCCTACCTGCCTTCAGTCTTTACAATTAGATTTGCTAAAAGGCTAGCCTGGAAAAAATAAATGGCTTTAGTTTAGAAAAGATAAGCCCCACCCAGTGCCTTGAGTGTCAAGATATTTGCTTTTGAAAAGACATACAACTAGAACTGCTAGGAGACTAAAGAGAAGTGTGTATGTTGCGGGGGTGTGGGGGATGCAGTGTGGGTGGGATAGGTGACTCTGATTTCTTTTCATTTTGAGCAAGCAGTTTTCCTGGAGAAACACCTAGGCAGGAAAGTCTGTGCCCATTGGAGTAGACAACACCTCTTGGACTGAATGCTAAAGGGAGTCTGTGGGAAGCCTGGTATGCTCACTAGGTGATCCCAGATTCCCTTGTTGAGAGGAAATGGGGAAATCACAGCAATGGAGAGACAGAAATCAATCTGGCCACTGGCACCTATAGACCTGAAACTAGAGGAGAGACAAAATGAGCTAGCTTGTCTGAAGTTAAAAAAAGAGTTGCACAGAACCTGAGCTTACCCTGAGGGTGCTATTCTTATGAGGCTATGTGACAGGGTCAATGGTCTGAATTGGAAGGAAACATGTGAAACTCCTGATCTTGCTATGGCACCCATTAACCTAGCTTGGAATGGCTAGAACTGGGTTGACCAGAACCCAACTAGATGAAGAGGAAGACGTATGACCCTGTAAACAGGTGCACACTGCTTGGGATGGCCTGCACTAGATTTGACTTTGCTTATTGGTGCAGACACACAATGTTCCAACTGTAATGAAGATTCTTCATCAGAGATCATGTTTGTCTTCTCAGTGCACTGGGTTGAAAGGAATGAGCAATTTAGAAATTGGATACCGAAAATGGGGAAGAGTTAAAAGCGTGAATTTACAAAACTTTTACAATAGAAGGGTTTTGTTTTGTTTTGTTGAGGGGGGGGGGAGTTTCTCCACTTGCGTGAGAGCCCCAGATTTACTTATGTAAAGTTATCTGTTTCAATCCCTTACTTTAAGTAGCTCAAGGTCTCTGAAGGGACATTAGAACCCAAGTCCATGAGACATCTCTCAGTATTCTCAAAGTCTGTTGAGTCTACAAATCTCAATATATTTGTAATAAATAGCTATCACCAGTTCATTATTTTTTGGAATTTCAATTTTTTTCTTTAGTGTGTGTATTAGACTGGGTTGTCTTTGGAAACATTACTAGTTATATTCATATATGTGACTGACTTACAAACTTTTCTGATTGTCTTTAGTCTTAAATAACTGGAATAAGGGAGGAATACCACTGAAATTTTTCTCTTTTCCTAACGGATCTAAGGAACAGAGGGTGAGAGAATTAGAGATGTAATTAGAGTTCAGGTTCAGATGTTTATAAAACTGCAATTTGGGAAAATAAGACATTTTTGTTTTGTTAACTTAAATAAGATTTAAATAAGTACCTTAAATAAGGTACTGGTGCATTTTTAATTGTGCATGTTTCAGTTGTATCCTATTAGGCAGAAACACAGTTTTATTATTGTCTTTGTTTAGAGATTAATAAGGTTAAAGAGTTGTATACAGGTTTCAACTTAACAAGGGTTCAAGTTAACAAGAGGTGTCCCATAGTGGTTAGATTCTATGTCAATTTGATGGTGCCTGTGTGGAGGTAGGAATGGAGTCTACCATGTTAATCAGGTGATAGCCTAAGGATGCCTCCATAGGATGTGGCCTTTTTATAAGAGAGATAGTGAGACTCTCTCTCTTGCCTTTCACCCTCCTGCTTGCTTAGATTCTGTGTGTGCCTCCAGAGATGGACCCATTTGGGACTCAAATCCTAGGAGTGTCACTACCCTATCATGTTCCCCAGACCTGGGATATACACAACCTGCACCAACCAGCTTTTGATTTCCATACTTCACCATTCTGTTTCATTGGTCTGCAGTTTGCAAGTCCAAAGAGAACTCCAGCTAGCCATGTAGCTCAGTTAGACTGAGCTGGTGTCCCTTGTTGATATATAATTATTTCTTAATGTAAATTTTATACATATATGAGGGTAACTGGTTTTATTTTTGTATACAATACAGTCTAACATACACAGTCAAGGAAAAGTTGAAATTCCAAATAATAATAATAATAATCTAGTGATAGTTTATGGCTACAAATTGATTGAGATTTGTAGAGAGGGTCAACAGATCCTGAGAATACTGAGTGAGGTCCCATAGGTTTGGGTTCTAATACCCCTTCAAAGACCTTGAGTTACTCAAGGTAATAGGTTGAAACTGATATCTTTGTATAAGTAAATCTGGGGCTCTCAGCTATGTGGAGGGAAAAAAGCCATAATAAATAGCAATCAAATGTGCACTATAAACTTGAAGCACAAATTTATACAATCCAG